ATAAAAGCAAAACGTTGAAAGGCTTATGCTACTCCTATTTTCGAAAATAAATACCATTAACTTTTGTTCTTCAATTGACAAATTTTTCAACATTTTGCTGTTATAAATCTATAAAAAATTATATGATTCTTTAATTCATATTTAATTTTTTATCGCCGTTTTTTTAATCGAAAATTGTATTATAAATATTTTTATTTATCTATCCTTATTGTAATACTTTTACTATATACAGCTGTGGAATTACAATTTTTACCGTAACATATTTATGAGTCTTAATATAAGGAGGAGATTAATTTTTATTGAGTACTAAACATATAGCATTTAAATCAGTAACGAATTTGTTTCATTTCTTCAATTGTTAAAAGTGATTACTAGCAAACTGCAATTTAATGAAGCCAAATCTACTACTTTGTCGTTTGTATACAATTTTTATTTTTTAAAATCTTTTTATGTGTTCTTTTACTTGTACAACACATTGGAAAAAAGAAGACCAAAATAATTGTGAAGGCATTAGTGAAGAATAATGATATAGGGAAATAGTATATGCTAGAGAAAAATATAACTCAATGGTTGTTTTAGTTTCTTTTAAATTTTCATTTCATTTTTTATTTTATTTAATAACAATTATAGAAAATATTTTTAATTTTTTTTTAGATTAAAAGAGATTAAAAGGGTCAATTGACGATAAATGCTTATGTGTATGCTTATCATAATTTACTACGAAATATATCTTATGTACAACAAAAATGAAATTAATTGAAAGATATATATATTATAGCTTATTGCTTAAGAATAAATTCTCTCTTTTGTTCAATATTAATGGTTAAGTTTAACAAAAAAAAAAGTTTATGTTGTGGTATTTATTTTGATAATATAATATAGTTTATAATAATCAATGATGTTATAACTTGAGAAAAAAAAAGACATGACATTTATAGAGATTAAAAAATAATTTATTTAGTAATAAAAAGGAAATAATTCCTCTGAATTTATCTCTATCATACTCACTTTTTCTGAAGTTTACGACAACACATACATTTTTTATTTTACTTTTTTAACCATTCTTTAAAATTAATCTAAATAAATATAAGTCAATTATAATTTGATAAATTTGTCGTTCTTTGTATTAATTTCATCATATATATTAATGCATATAATTAGAAACATGATTTATTTAATAAATACTTTAAAATAAATCAACAAAAATTAGTGTATGTTATAATATATATATATATATATATATAATGAAGCAATTCTTTTAAAATATGAATTAATATGAAGAAATTAATACAAAAGGACAAACTATCAAAATATAATTAATTTATATTTATTTTAAATAAATTTCAAGAATTTTTTTTAAAAAAAGATATACGTAATAGTGTAGACCATATAGAGGTAAATCTAAATTAACCCTTAAAAATTTTAATCATTTCACGAAATACAGACATCTCTAATAAAAAAATTTTAATTAAAAGTCAGTTGAAATTGTAAAAATTGTTATTATATTACTTAAAAATTTACATTTATTTTAGAATAATAGCAAATTATTCTTCTCACTTTGCTTCTGTGAAAAACATATCAATTTTTGTTTTTATAATATCTAATCACCTATATTCTTACTCAATAAGCACACCACTATTAAGAGCATAATTCATTCTAATCCTTTTTGTATATATCTAACTAATATATATACCATCTTCAACATGTTTGGAGTAAACAAAGCCACAATTATTGTATTTGTTATGATGTTATGCATTTTACTTCTACAATTATAACCTCAAATACGATTAATATTTCTTGCTGGTAATAATAATGGTGAAATTTAATATGAATAGGTGGCCTAATCGCAAAATTTTCAAGGCTAGTGATATTATTGATAAGAATTCATTGATAAAATCTTGATTAAAGAAATCATCATTTTCACTATTTAATTTTATTTCTTGACCATATTTATACATTTTTTTGTCAAATTATTGAGTTTAAATATATTGTGAACATGCACAATGTGGTAAAAGTGAGCAAGGGAAAATATGAGTCTTGCAAAACTAGTGGAGGACAAGTTTACAATTCAGGAGATGACAAAATATCACTTAAAGAGAGGATATCATATTTTATTTGTATTATTAGATTATATTTTTCTGAAGGTGTTAAGAATGCTATTGAAATTAATTAGTTTGTTTCAAGCCGTATGTATCAAAACATAATGATTTTATAGTTATGATTTCGAATATCGATGACATAAAACATTTTATTTTATTTTATGCATGAGGTTAATTTGGTTGTGGAGTACTTTGAGTGAAATTAAAATTCGCGTAATTCTTTTGGCATTTTGTTTTTCTTTCATCATAACATTGATGAATGAATGTGATTCTTTAATATATGATATCCAAGTTATTCACTCAAGAAAAAATTGCACAACACTTGTATATTGTATATCTTTGGTGTATATGATTTAGATGTGTGTATAACTTGACTTGAAGATATACAGCAGGCTGAAAAACTATACTAATAATTCACAAGTATATTGACATGAAAAAATAAGAAGATGTGATTTATAATATGTGACACGTAATAATTTTATCATTTTTATAAAGAATTTCTTCAGCTCCAACATATATCACAGTCAAATTCATAAAATTTAGGTTCTAAAATCTTTTTTTTTTCAAATATCAATTTAATGAAATTAATTTATTCGATACTCATGTAAATCAGTAAATATCTGATATATTATCATAAATTTAGGTTCTAAATCTTTTTTGCTCTAGTTTGGACTTTAGCTTCTTAATTATAATAATACTAGTGAATTAGGATGTCATAATCTTATGAAGGAATGAGCTGTAGAATGCACCAACCAAATCATTTTTTTTATTTTCACATTCATTAACGCATTAACTATTTCATAATTAATAACAAGAATTTCATAGGAAAGAGGATAATATGAAATCATTTTTGTAAGAGATCAAATTATTTTAAAATTAAATTAAGTTTAATCGAATTTTAACATAAATATTAAAAAGAAGTTTTACTCTTAAGATTAATTGAATAACTTAAAAAGATATTATTTATATATTTGAGTTATACAGCTGGACAACTATTGGCTCACTTAATATTTTGACATTTCATTAGTTGTAGCCCTCTTTTTTTGGTGTTTTTTCTTTAATTTTTATATAGTTCTGTTCCAAAAAATCGTATTTTTTTCATTCTAAAAAAGAATAATTTAGTTTAATTAACATAAAATTTAAAAAAATAAAGTTTTTTTAATTTTGTGATTTAAATTAAATTTATGTCAAATATATTAAAATATTTTTTATTTTATAATTTTAAATATAACAAGTGGATAAAATTAAAATAATATCAAAAAAAATCTTTATCTAAATAGACTAAAGAAAAACGTGTCATTTTTTTTAAAAAAATAGAGGGATTAGTAAGTTATTGAAATGTCTATATTATCAAACTAATAAAAAAAAAGCATGTTTATATATAGTGGTGCCCCCGTACTTTTAATTTGTTGATCTATGACTTATTATATTAAACACCGAATAGAAAATAACTTATTTTATTTTGTTTTATTTTAAGAAAAAAAGGAAAGAACAATCATGCGCAATCGGGTTTTTTCCCAAAATTATTACTTACTTTATTATATGACAGTGTGATAATAGAGAATATCATAAAATCTGTAAATTATTTATACTGAATTTATTTATCTGTGATCTCAAAAAGATTTTCTTTTGATTCAAATTATAAATAAAGATAGAATATCATTTGCCCGTTCAAAAGTGATATTTATAATCTTAATACACAAATAAGTATATTCCCAAATCAGAAGTAAGATCTTGAATTGTAAACTTTTGCTCCACCCCACTCTCTCTAGTTTCTAAGCTTAGTCATGTTTGATCAAGTATTATAATATGTATCAAAATTGTTAGGTTTGATGAAATTAGAACAGATAACAATATAGTCACCAAGTGTCTTCACTTATATTGATGGTAGGATATAGAAAATGATGCATGATTATTGTATATATATAAGTAGGTATTTAAATATGTGATTTGATTTCACGATATAAAATTATGAGATAAAATTTTGAACTTGCTATTTCACGCTAACTTTATGTCATGATTTTATATCATGAGATGAAATCTTAAACCTTTTAAAAATTTTATTTGTTTTACTTCAAATCAATTCGTAATTTAGCATTTATATTTTCCGAATTCAATATTTTTTTAATCAAATTTATTACTATTTCATTCAAATTCAATGTTTTTAATGAAATAAAATTTCAACATTATATTCGGTAAGACAAGATTAACAACTTTGCCATTAACTGGAAAAGAAGTAATTGAGCTACTAACAACTTGAACACTACAACTTTATGTATAATTAATTTTATATTTATGAAAAAATAACAAAATCAAAAGTTCAAATCGCACGTCTAAACAAAATTTCAACTTCATCTCACAATATAATGTTGTGATTTCATATCCAAATAAAATTTTAACTTCATCTCATAATATAATATTATGATTTCATATTCAAACGGGACCTAAAAAGAAGTTTCAAGTTGAAGCAAACATGTCACCATCAATGTGCTTATTCCAAGCAAAGATATTTTTCGTAAAATAATTGAATAATACTCCTCATAATTAGTGTTTTTTGAGATGCTTAAATAAAACTATATCACGAATATTTTGAGACAAATGAAGTATTATTTATGGGACCAAAACACAATATTTTTTCTTTTATGTTATAAAATATTTTCACAAAGTTAAAAAATTTACAATTACCATAGACTTTCTTTATGTCCCCAATACAAAAGTTCAGCTCTCGATCCTTCAATCTTAGCCTCACTCAAAAAAAATCAATTGAATATAAAAAAAAAACAACAGAATTTGTGAATTAAATGATAAATGTAAATCATATCCTAATCTTTTAAAAAGAATAATTTCTCCTTTCTAAAATTCAAAAGAGAATTTGATTTAATAAAATTTTGTTCAAAATCCTCATCTTAAACAAACTGGTTCTTCAGCAATAGTTTCCAACAATGGCTTCTTCGATCTACACATAGATAACCTATGCTTAAATTCTTCACTTGAAAAATCTTCAATATCATCCAAATTCAACTTAGGCAAAGTACAATAATTCTCTTCAGGCAAGATTCTTAAACTCCCTATTGACACCCTTTTGGAAACAGAGTTCGCAGTAAGTAACAGAGCACCCATATCACCTGCTGATACAAAAGAATTCACTCTTTTCATCGGAAACATAACATAAACATTTCCCATTTCAAGATCTTCGTCTGCATTTAACGCAGAAAATCTCCTTCCAATATGAAGTGATCGAGTGTTCACAAGAAAGAAATTAGGAGTTTCCATCATAATCTCTGCTGCTTTAATCGGTTCATAAAAATGCCTAATTTCACCACATGGGAATATAACTTTTATCCCTCTTGATTCTTTGTTGCCTCCTGGCCCTGATAAAGTGCAAGAAATATAGTTACCCATAGTACAAGATTTGAGCTTTTTTGGATTAGAGAAAAAAAGAAGAAGAAGAAGAGATAGTCTTGTAATGAAAATATTTTGTTTTTGAGGATACTGAATGCCATATATACATATTTAAATAAAACGGAATGTTGATAAAAGGAAAAAGTCAAAAAAATAATTTTTTATTTTATATATGTATAAATGAATAGAAGACAGTTGTAGTTATCAAGAAAAAAGGCACATGACAGTTGACATCCGCGTTTGATGAAGTTGAAAGGAAAGTTGGTTTATACTATGATAGGATTCATATTTCTGTCTGTTAAATGCGTGTGGAGGCCACTTATCTAATCTTTGGCGTTGCTTTACGTATCATTATTACCAAATGTTTACTTGTTCAGATGAATGTGTTCATTTGCTCAATTTTATACAAGAGTGTCTACTTGTGCATACCCAAAATTAAAAGATCATAGTTATCGATTGACGATGAGTTAAGGGTTATATTTATATATTATACCTTCATTTTTGATAGTGAAAATTCAAGTTTCTATCACTATTTATTTTTCTTAAACTATATAAATGTCCAATATATACTTAGTAGAAATTAGATCTCGATTTCCTCTCTATGTTGGACCAAAATGGCGGATTTGATGGCTAGGGGTAAATTTCAAATGGGTAATGAGAGCATTATTTACCAAACCTCTATAAGGTTAGGAGAGTTAGTTAGAACTTAACATAATAATCAACTTGAATAAAGTTAAATTTATTGCAAGTGGCATCAGCATGCTGTCCAAAACTCCACTAAGTTAAATGTTAATTTTTAATTATCCAGTATTATTTAACACAATCGTGTAAGCAACAATAAATAAATATTTTATTATATCATACTTTGAATATAATAAATTTGATATTCAAAAACTTATAATTAATAATAAAAATAAAGTAGGAACTAAAGTAATAAACTGTTTGTTTCATTTTCTAAATCGAGAAACAGAAAATAAACATCAAATTTAATACTATGAACAAGTAAAAATGGACAGATTCTCCGAATAAGGCTAAAGTTCGAATTTTGATTTCAAATATGACATACATTGAACATCCAATTCCCAAGAAAGAGCAACTCCAGGAATCGTGACGGTATAGTAGCCGCGTTACGAGATCATATGCACAATTTTCACTTGCAAAGGACATTAGTGGTATAATTTTATTATTATTTTTTTGTTTATTAATCATTGGCCGTGTACTAAATCATTGGTTTTTCCATGTTACTATTAAATGGCATTGTTGAGAAGTCATCTCATATTAATATATTCTAAACTCACCGTCACCTTTTGCCGTACAAGTCAATTTATGAGGATAATATATTTTTATATCGTATGAACTCTGGGACATTTTCCCAAAAATATTTCACTTTTGGCTGTAAAAGCTAAAATTAACAAATATTCACGTAGTTTCACAAAATGAGGTCTGAAAAGGATAGAGTTAAGGTGACATAGGAAGGCTGTATCACCATCAGCTCAAAAGAAAAACAGTTTGAAAAAAGACGTAATGATTCCTACTGTTTCACCATCAGCTCAAAAGAAAAAAATTTGAAAAAAGACGTAATGAAACTGCGATCGTTAACGAGAAAACTTACACATATTCAAGTGATCCCTCAAATTTTAATCCAAAATGACTCACCCGTGAGTGCTAATCTCTCTCTTTGCCAAATCCTAAGAATTAGGACGGCTATCTCTGCAAAGTAAACCTTAGAACAGACTACATCTAAGTCAAACAAAAATATCTTATTTCCCACTCCAACAGTTTTTAGTACGTAGTACTAATTTTAATGTGAGCAGGTCAAAGCATATTTAATACCAAAAGATAACCAACACAAAGTCAAGCAAGTAAAATTTCATATATATATTAGAGTAGCACAAAGTCAACTTGGGAATTATATTAAACTCATATTCATGAACCAGGATGAGAAGAGTTCTTCGCTGACTTTTTTTTTTCTTCAATTTTATGGTGTATCAAAGCAAATTAAATTCATTTACTTGGGGCTTTTGCTTTTATTACACGGCGGGCAACCTGTTTTTCTTGATAGTAAAGAGACTTCTTCTAGGATTTCTATCACTGTAGCAAATGATGGCCTTGTAGAAGTAACTGTACTTGTGCAGTCCTCTATTAACCTGAATAAAATAACATAATGTTGTCAACATAGGCAGAGCCATCAATTGAAGCTTACGCGTACGGGATTTCAGTCCTTTTGAGTCATTGATTGGGACCTAAATTAGTAATTTGAGCCACAATGTGTATTCGGAGTTCCTAAGTGGCCTGTATTTCTGATAGTAAGATCATTTAAACATATACTGAGTTGGGTAAAAAGACATGTAAAGGAGAGTGGATTGACTTACTGAAGAATTCTACTCGGGTATCGACCTGTATACATCTTTTTCTCCAAATCTACAGACTTTATATGCATGGAGTCAGAACTCCTGTCACTCATTTGTCTTCCTTCCAGCATCTGCAGCATTTCCAGTGTTAGTACTGAATCTTAATGGAAACTCATGTCTTAATAGTCAAGAAAGAAGTAAACAGAAAGATTACTAACTCAATTCAACGTAATAACTTTCCACTGGCAATGAACCAAAGAAAAAGTTCTACCAGTACAACTGACTACTACGTGGACTACATCATGTAGTTTATGCCTCAAACAAGTTTAGATCACGCTCATTTTCTCACTATTTTTCTATTGGTTTGAGCTTTCACTATGGGGAAAGAACTTCCATCTAACGAGAAACAAATTTGGCACTCAACTAAAGAAAGCTAATGCCAAAGTTAGGAATTGAGAGGATCTGAACTCATCCTCTTGATTACCCGACCAAAAAAATAAATTCAACTTTGTCTAGTCCTAGGTATTGATTGCATCCAGCTAGTCCTTCTTCAGAATATATAATTAAAGTTGAAGTCTAGTTACCCTTTTCATGACACATAAAAAAGGTCAGGATCATCCAGTTCCCATCTTTAAGTAGTGGACAGAATTTTTAATTACAACAGCAAATGAGACTTAAAGGTCTGATCAGTATTCTGCAATGAATATCACCAAGTTCTTAATAAGATAAATATTCAATTTTCTTGTAGCTTTTCAAGTTAGCACTCTATATGATGCTCATCAAACTAGTAAAAGATCATGAAAGATTGCCTGAACCAAGTAGCATCTGTAAGTGCTAATAGCAAAATGAGTGCAATTCCAAAGTTGAGCTAAAATAACAATCATTTGTTCTAATTTACCAATCTATCATCATTTTATATGAATTTTGTTATTAGTTTTAAGAAGGTCCAACAAACTCAAGTTAGTCCTAAAGTTGGATCGGTTTATGCTCAATTGTTTGAGAACTCCTTGAACCTCCAACAAAAAGCAGTAAGAAAAGAGAAGAGGATTATTGCAATATGCTGATACATATACGATAGGAGAACTCCTTGAATCTACCTGGTAAAAGATGAGGCTAAATGAATAAATATCTTTGCTAATGTCGAATCTACCTGGTAAAAGATGAGGCCAAATGAATAAATATCTTTGCTAATGTCATGACACAAATGGCTGATTAAGTTACATCCGTTGTTTGTTTGACCTGAAAAAGAAATAGACTGACTATAAGCTGCAGTATGTGACCCAAAATAAATGAACAAACAAATAAGCAAGAACCAAAGGGTCTTCATACAACAGTCTTGATTTGCATATATCTGATTATCCAATATTTGAACCCAATATTCACCAATCTTTAAGTGCCCACATTCATCTAGTAACAAGTTCCTGGACCAAATTAATAAAAGACTTCAGAGATGACAGCTAATTGTTCGGGAGGACATATGCTATATAACTGAACTACATTGTTTTAATTTGCTTTATAACTAAACAAATTAGTGCCCATTTCTTCATAAATTACTTTGCTGGCATGTCAATAGTCACACAGATAGAAATAGCATGGTGAAGTGGGTTAAACTGATTCGAATGACCAATATGTTAGTTAAAACATTGACATCCAATTGCATGTTGACTCAAGAGTCCTATTGGCATTTTCATGTCTTCTATAATGAATATTCTGGCAATAAAACGTGAACATACCCCCAATTGCTCTGAGTTATGAAGTAATAAGCCAGTTGAACATTCAAGAGGATAAAAATCTCAAGTCCGATTAGCAAGGCACATAATACAGAGATATAAACGACCTGCAGCTTGACAGTACTGTTACAAACAAAAGAACTCTCTAGAATCCATTGCAGAAAATCATAGACAGACAAACTGAAAGAAAGAAGCACTTGGTTTTATCTAACCTCTATCTACTAGTGATTAAACACTAAGATACAGATACTAGAATTATCATAATAACTCAGCAAAAAGAAAGACTTAAACTAGAAGTCAGTTATTTTCCTGATCCTATTATTGGAAAGCAGACTCAGCTACAATTCCCAAGTATAGAAGATAATAAATACATAAGAAATTGCTGCGAGATGTTAATAAGGATGAATGAATAGACATACTTCAGATGCAAGTTATTGTGAACAATAGGCAAGGGCTTGTGCCGATGGAGGTAGTTCATTCCCCTGTAATCAATGTGAACACTAATGTGATTTGTTCCTCACATAATAAAAGGAAATCAACCTAAATAGGAATTAAGTGAAATGTTGAACCTAGCTATGTCAAGTGCATAGCGCAATGCAGTTGGGGGGTCAAGACGCTTTCTCAAAATATCTTGCATGTTTCCCTGAAATACATGGGAAAACATAATAAGAAGTATATCATATTCAGGGGCTATCCTTAACCATTCTAGCAATCACTGAAAGATCTTGGGTGAATTTTTTTTGAAGATAAACGTTGAAGTTTAATAGAGTCATAAGTGCCATAACAATTAGCATGTAGGAATATTAAGTGATAGTACTTTGGCAAAAAATATTTATTAATAGTACAGCATAGTGAAGGCTACAAAGTGCATTTATTTCTGCATCATGTCTCACAAAATGATTATTGAGTGCCGGCCTAC